GTCCCCGGCTTGGCCCTGGAGTATTGCGAGCCTTGGCCTCTTCTGGGCTTGCAGCCTGGGTCCGGGCACAGCAGGAGCTGCCCTGTTGCACCCGTTGGGTTCCCAAATGGGAATGCAGGTACGGGCAGTGGTGCTCCAGCACTTGTTGGATGTTACTGACCAGCCGACACTGGTCAGCTCTTGGGCCTTACGTGCCCAGGCTTGGTGCAGTCACCCGTATGTTCAGTCTCGCTCCTGGGAGGGCCCCTGAAAAGGGGTTTCAAACCTGAGGTTTCTTCCAGATGCTGCCAGTCAGGCATCTTCCCTGTTACAGCCTGTCTGCTCATCTTCCCCAGGCAGCGTCCAACCCCCTTCTGAACTGGGGGCTGTGGGATCTGACCCGGGCTTCTACTGAGATTCTGCCTACGTAGTGGTGATGCCGGCACTAATGGGTTTGGGGGCAGAGGGGTTGATGCATGACACTGACATCTGTGTGCACAGCGATGGCTGTGGTGCCTCCCTCACCGCTGTGGCAGTCTCTGCCTGCCACCAAGGCCCCAGCTCCTCCGAGCTCGTGCTGCATGCCCAGCCAGCCGCTCCCCCGTGCTTGCAAGCTCGTGCCGCTCCCCGTGGGTTGGGCTGCTGGGCACCCTTAGCCCTGACAGGGAAGCCCAGGGCCAGGCGCATATTGACTTTTCCCGTTGTCGCTGTCCCCTTCCAGGGCTTCGTTCCTGCTGCCATCCGGCTCATTCCTCACACTGTCCTCACCTTCGTCTTCCTGGAACAGCTGCGCAAATATTTTGGGATTAAAGTGATCACCTGAGTAGGAAGGACCGGGACCCTGCCTCGCCCCAGGGGGGTGAGCATACGGGTCACCGCTGAGATCCCAGAACCCCTCTCTGCTATCTGGGGCCAGTGCTGCTCCCCCTATCCCTCGTCCCCACTCCTGTGCCTTGCCAGTGCCTGTGGCCAGCCAGTCCCAGACTCCCCTTTCCTCTCTCACCCCTGTTCTCAGCACCTCCGTTACCTCTGGGATATTCTTGGGCCTCTTGTCCCCTCCGCACTGTTGGCTTGGGGTTTTTTTTGCCGTCTTCCCACTGCCCTACTGGCCACGAGTTCTGCCCTTGCCTCCCTCAGCCCTGTCTCTTACGGGCCTCCGGGAGCAGGACTGCGCTGTCCTGGGGAGGACAGGGGGGATCTGGTCACAGAGCCTACGGAGCTGAGGGCTGGTGGGGCCAGTGCCCACGCTGCGGCGGGGGCCGGGGGGGGGGGGGCGGGGGGGGGGGGGCGGCAGGTCCCC